AGTTATAAAATGTTATGGTATGTATATTCTTATAGAACAGGAAATGACCTTGTATATTTAAATCTTATATATAAAATACTAATCTGTAGTGAAGTATAGGTATGAAAATATAAATAATGTGTACACTATAGAAAAGAGTGATTTAAAGAAAAGTTTCTCAAATTTTATTCATTTCATAGTTACTGACTTCTAGTGGCAAAACAAGGAATGAAACGGAGAAAATTAGAAACCAAATTCTAATATCTAAATTATCTTTGGATTTAAGTACTAAGACACAAATCTTTTTATATCTGGCCCTATTTTTATTGTATTATTTTATTACACTTGAAAAATTGATTTGGACATTTTTACAGACCCTCGATTGAATAACAAAGGCTCCATTAAAATAAATGCAAAATATCTTTTTACCATTTAACTCATTTCTCATGATTTTGGATTCAAATTTTATATAGGCTTTTCTGAACATTTTATTTAATTTTTGCAAGTTTGTAGTATATAATTATTATATTCATCATGGGGAGTTGGTATATATAAGATATATATTATATATAATATATATTGATATATATAAGATATATATTATATATATCTTGGTATATATTATATATATATCTTATATATATCAATATATATTATATATATCAATATATAACACATCTTAATTATTTTTACTTCCCCTTCCTTCTCCCCTCTGCTCCCATTTACAAGACAACAATAAAAGTATGTACTTGTTATCAACAACTTATGGCTTGATTTCAATGCCTGAGAAATAAATACAAAACAGAGCTGGACAGTATTCATAGAACAGGACACAAAAATATTCAAAACAGTGAAATGTAACAATCTTACTTTCTTCTGAAAGACAAATGAAGTTCAACTTCATTTTAACAAGTATGTCTTGAATGTCTGTTCAACGCTGAAGGAGTTGTTCATTTTATTCCATAAATATTGTGCACCTATGATGTCCCAGGCTTTGTTCAAGGCACTAGTGATGGAGCAGTGCCTCACCTTTGTAGAACCCATGTGCTAGAAGAATGAAAAATAATAAATAAGCAAATGAATAAACTACATAGTATGTCAAGCCACGATACAGGCTATAGAGCAAAACAAAATTGGAAAAGGCATTACCAAGTGTCAGGGAAAGGGAACAGAGCATTAAAGGGTCATAGAAGGTAGCACTGTATCAAAATCATGAGTGGTATTGTCTCCCTGGTGTAAGAACATGAAAGAGTAAATAAAACCCAAAATGTACAATAGATAATAAGAGAGGGAAAGAAATTGCTCAAAGGAAGGAACAACTGGGATGAGGGAAAGAAGAAAAAGAAAGTACTAAGGCATTTTATATATTATGGATCTGTGGCATAACTGTACTGTTGGTGTCTGATGGTTTCTTGAGGGGAACAGTTAATATTTAAAAGTTTTTTTTAATATTTTGACCAATTTTGCATGTTTGTATTTGGTAATCTGAGCAACTTATGTGACGACAACAATTTGCAGTGTTATATCCATTGGTGAATTCCTACAATGCTGCCTAGTGACACTATGTATTGTCTCTAATATTCTTTTAAATTATTATTTTCTTATTCCCTTTAATGATTTGATCAATCTTCTATTCTTGCATCTGGTAATCTGAGCAACTTCTTTGAAGATAACAATATGTAATATAACAACCACTGTTAATTATTTGGTTTGAAACCCTGTATCATTTTTAATGTCCTTGCTTTATATTGTCTGTATTTTGCTATTGTTTTTTTTTGTATTATTTTCTTTAAAATAAAAAAAAATAAAAAAGAAAATCATGAGCGGTTTTTGGAAGCATGGAAAAGATGTGCCGGTGGCCACTTTACAGACATGTACTCGTGGCTCTTCTATTCCACTAAGCCACTAATTGGTGAAAGACTCTACTTCTCTTTTAAAAAAATTTTTATTCTAAAGAAAATTCAAAAAAACAATAACAAATAACAACAACATAGACAAAAACAAAACAAAACAAAAGCAATAAAAATGATACAGGGTTTCAAAACAAAATGATAGGAATTAACAGTGGTTGTTATATTACATATTGTCATCTTTAATGAAGTTGCTCAGATTACCAGCTGTAAGAATGCAAGATTGATCAAATCATTAAAGAGAATAAAAGTAATTTTAAAAACATTAGAAACTATAGAGAGCTTCACTAAACAAGATGGTAAGAATTCACCAATGATTGTTATGTTTGCGTATTGTTGTCTTCAAATTAGTTGTTCAGATTACCAGATATAAGCATACAAAATTGGTCAAAAAATTTAAGCATTAACTGTTCCTTTCAATAAACCATTAGAATCAGCAGTATAATTATCCCAAATATCCATATATATACATATTGTTTTCCCTTCCTTCTTTCTTTTTCTCCTACATGTATAAACATCGTATTGTCTCCCTAGTGTAGAACCTGAAAGGGTAAATAAAACCCAAAATGTACAACAGATATTATGGAAGGGAAAGAAGTTGCTCAAAGGAAGGCTCTACTTCTTAACTAATTGAAGGGTGCTGTCAAACTGGAAGTATCTCTTTCATGGAGGTGGAACATGACCTGGTGATTCAGACTTTGAAAAACGGAGAAAGTATGGAGGCAACATAGCATGAGGACAGCAGGAAGAATATCAGCAGGCAGGCTCTGGCAGAGAGGAGGAAGCATTGCTTTCTCTAGAGACAAAAACTGGAGAGATCCGTCCTGCCCTAATGGACGGGTAGGGATAGAGCAGGCAGCATGAGAGAGGCTATGGGAGCCACTCAAGCAAATTGAATGCAGGAGAAACATGATGAACTAGGTATTTTAGTGAACTTAATCCAGTGATATGGTCAGGTCAGATTAGAATAAAATAAGGCCACCTGAAGGAAGGCAGTCTAAAATCTTGTTGCTGGTGGTATCTAGACATTAATTTATGGACCAAAAATGGAAGCAGTAAGAACACTGATATTTGCAAAAGAATGACACTCAGCAAGAAAAAATGACAGGCATTGGAAGGTGATTAGATCTGAAAGGTAAAGGACAGGAAGAAGTTAGAGTGACACACACATAAAGTTCAGAGAAAGGCAGGCAGATGGTGTCATTCCAAGACAGGATTTTGTGACCTAAAAAGGGTGTGACTCACAGGGAATCGCACGGTGAGTCAAAAGCTGAAGCCACAGCCCAGAAGCAAGACCTGCTTCCTTCACTTGAAGACTACAATGATTTAAACGTGGAAAACAGGAAAGCAGTGTCATCAACTCCTCTAGCTGGGCATGGGAGATGGAGAGTTTTAGCTTTGTATTTGTGGAGTTTGAAGATGTTTAAGTGCAAATATCCAGGTGATAGGCAATACTTTAGAATTAGAAATGGCTCTGTCCTCACTGCTTTGTGATCTTGGACAAGCCCTCAAACTCTCTAAGCCTCAGCTTCCCCAGTTGCAAAGTTGGGATAGAATTATGATGATGGTGATGATGTCTTTTTGAGACAGGGTCTCGCTATGCAGTTCAGGTTAGCCTTGAGCTCACTTTGTAGCCCAGGCTGATCTCAAACTCGCAACGATCCTCCTGCCTCAGTCTCTCCAGTGTTGGGATAGTATTATTATTTAGTGGCTCTTATGAATCAAGTAATTAAAAGGAGGCTTCACGAGTGTGAGAACAGCCAAACACCAGGGAACTACTGAAGCAGCAGTAATGAGGAAAGGAGGAACTTGGATGACTCATTTTAAAGTTTGCAAACAATCTGTGAGTGCATCTAAGAATAAATGAAGTTGGAAGACAGGCATTTGACTGAACGAATGTGAAATTTATTCATGATAATTTGTTAAACAACTCTTAAGGAAATTTTGGCGCATTTCTAAGCATCAAGGAAGTGACAGCATGGAGCATCCTCCATGTGAAGGTGGTGGTGGAATGCCGGCCTAAGCTCTATAGTTAGGTACCAAATATTATTGAATGTAACATAATGTGTGGTAAGATGGAAGATTTTATGATTCTTTTTACCTACCCAAAACAAGTCTCCTTAATTGCAAATTCTGAAAACTTGGGATGTTCTTATCACATTTTATTGGTGTTTGTGTGGGAGTCAGTATACTTTTTCCTGTATATGAAAACATACTTCACCTGGGCATGGCTTCCCATGCCTATAATCTGAGCATTGTGGGAGGTCAAGGCAGGAGGATTACAAATTCAAGCCCAGCCTGGGCAATCCCGTCACTCAGCGAGACCTTGTCTCAAAATTTTAGAAAACAGCTGGTGATGTAGCTCAGTGGGAATGCCCTGGGTTCAATCTTCAATACTCTCCCCCCTCAAGTGCACCTCAGAAACATGAAAAACTCCGAGAAGCCCACCTGAAAGGCTGACCTAGAACACAGTTGTCTAAAACCTCTAGTGTAAAACGTTGTCAATGAATTACTTGTTCCCAGCTTGAAGAAGTACTTAGAGTTATTCTTTTAGTATTTTTCTATCCAAAATTTTTTCATAAATTCCACTGTAGTAATTATACTTAGGAGAAAGTCAGAAACAACAAATTTCCTTCTTAAAAAGGCCTTTTTCTTTCAATCTGTTTTTGCAATCTATGTAATGTTATATTCATGAACTTTGTCTCACATGCTTAAAGGCGTTGGGGGAAAAAAAGCTACCTGACCAGCGCTGAAGATTTACTGACCTACCTGACACAGCCAGAACCAGAGGAGCAAGGCGAAGAGAAAACATCCAGTCCAGAAGCCTTTCCCATTAGATTATAAATTAGCTTGTCTGGGACCAGCAATGTCCTATAGGAATATCATGTGGACTGCACTTGTGAGCCACCTATGTAATTTTAAATTTTCTTTAATGAAAGCCACATTTTACAGAAGGAAAAAACAGGTAAAATTAATTTCAATAATTTTATTTAATTAATATATTGTAGCCAAAGTATCTTTTAAAACATGCAATCAACACAAAAACCACTTATAGCTATATTTTGCGTTATTTTTCCATACTGTGTTTGATATTCAGTGAGTATTGTCCAGTCCCTCTCAATTCATACTAATCATAATTTCAAGAGGTCAACGGCCGTATGTGGCTTGTGGCTACCCTATCTGGACAGTGCAGCTTTGAACTCAAAATACGTTGTTTTAGTGTTTTTCAAGAGGGCGGTAATACATTACAGTTTGGAGCAAGCCAGCAACTTGAAGTAAACATGGGTTTTTCCACTCCAGTCAGTGTTGGGGCTTTTCTGATTTTTTTCCCCTTGAATTCAGAGCACGGCTTCTTAAAAGACGTCTCAGTGTGAAACTGAAATAAACTGGGATGCTGCACATTCTTAAATCACAAGAATGTTATATGCAGTGTTCCCCCAGAGAAAAGTATTTATCTCAGGTTATTAAAAATGAAAACTAAAAATTACATTTATTCGTTGGGTAGTCCATTATGCCATTGCAAGTACTGCAGAAAGAATGATGAGTATACGTCAGGCAAAAGTAGATCAGAATGCTAAGCGATCCACCAACTCTTTGTGGAATACTCCTCCTCCCGGGAATGGTGTCACCCCTTAGCACGGCTTATCCTAAGGAACTGCAGGGTTGGTTTCCCGACCTCACCACCTCTGTGCGGCGCGGTCGGAAGCGCGGGCTGCACCGCCTGCCCACATTCCCTGGCAGCCTGCAGCTCCGGCCAGATGGAGTTTCCGGCCTGCGCCCGCGCTCCTTTCTGCCTGAGGCCAGGTCCCCGGGCCGAGCGCGCCGTCGGCGGAGTCTCCGGACGGCCGCCCCGCGCCGTGCCCACAGGCTGGCCGCCCGCCGCCCCCTGCGTGCCAGGCCGGTCGGGTGGCTGCGCCGGCCGCGGCGGCGAGGCTGGGCCCTCCCCCGGGTGATTTCAGCGCCGAAGGTGGAAACGCGGAAGTTTCCCTCCGCGGCTGACAGCTGAGGCTCGCGTCGGGCTCGGCATGCGCTGCAGCGGCTCTGCGGCGCCCCGAGCCCCCGCTCTGCGTCCCCACGCTCCTAGCGGCCGCCCAGGCGCCAGCCCGGCATGGCCACGCTGCCC